CCCCAAAACCCCAAAACCCCAAAACCCCAAAACCCCTAAATATAAGAAATTAATTGAAATAAAATAAGAAAAAGGTATGAATTTTTCCAAATTTTATCCTACTTTCGGGAGAATTAGAGAAGAATCATAGATTTCTTTAACAAAGGATCGATTGTAACTGTTACAAAGCTTTTTTCTTAAAACTTGAAGATTTTGATCGATGAAGATTAAACAAAACAATATAGCATGATTGTGAAGTCCCAAACAGCAATGTCTCGGTCTAGAAGTCAGGGAAATTTTGGAATGCTTAGTTTTCAGAGCATGTCAAGGAACCACTTTGTTCATTCACCTAGGGTTACTAGCTCCTATTCTACTTCACAATCATCATTCAATAAGATTCCAACTTTTACTAACACTGCTTTGAGAGTGAGCAAGATACCTCTGCATGAGATGTTTAAGAAACACATTGGTATAAACAAGGGGTCTATTCTGCCTGAAAATATGTATCATCCTCCAAAATCGCAAGCTTCATTATTAAAGAGCCCAAGTTATAGATTCCCAAAGACCAAAAATAAGAGTTTTATTCATCTGATGGAGAAGCATGGCAAAGCTGTCCCTGGGCCTTCTGATTATGAAAAACCTATGAAGTGGATCAATAATACAGCTAGAGATCTTGGAAAAGGCGTTAAGAGAGTGACTGTTATAGACCAGATTTATAAGGAAAAGAAGAAGATTCCAAGCCCTTCTGATTATGAGACTCTTAGGAAGTACAAATCTAAAATCACTGCATTTGATAAGGCAAATGGGTTCAACTTTCTAAGCGAAACTGAACATTTAGCACAGAGAAATCCATCCCCAGATCAGTACAAGCCTGAAGAGAAATGGGTCACGAAGAAAGTTCCACAGTATAAAATAGTTAAATCAAAGGAGAATAAAATGAATTGGAAACCAGTCAAAACTACAGGAGCTTCAGTTGGTTTATACAGCACCACTAGCCACTTAGTCCTCCCAAAATCTCCTAGAACAGTTTTCGCAAAGGAGAAACTTAAATCTGTCATCCAAGGGATGAGCTTAAAGAAGAAGAAAGTCCCTGGAGTTGGTGAATACACCATCAACCCTTGTTATGACAAGATTTCTAGGCCGATGAGGACCTCCAGGGTGTAATTGGGTTTAATTCAACCTTCAATAATTGGATTACCAATTGGGGTTTTGGGGTTTTGGGGTTTTGGGGGTTTTGGGGTTTTGGGG